AAAAAAATCAAAATTTTAAGGAAAATAGTTGCTATATGATTTTAGAGTTTTTGTTATTTTCATTTTAGCAGTTATTGCCTCTGAAATAGCAAATCACAAAATAACTGAGTATAATTTTGAATATATGGAATTTACCTAAAAAATAGAAGTATCTGTCCTATACGCTTTGTAAAAAGCGAAATATACCAATACAGAAAACTATTCACAGTTTTCTCATGAAAAAGTGCTTGTGTGCTAGATACACTTAAAACAGGCATATTTAAAGTTTTCTTCAATTCATCTGATTTTTTTTTATTAAAAAATAAGCTTGAATTATTGAAACAACCAGTGATTGATTGATTGATTGATTGATATTTTAAATTTTTTTTTAGGCAAGACAACCCTTAGTTGATCTCACAGATTGCAAGGACCTTGTCAGCTTACAATTCTTTAATTTTTGACGTCTACAGCACCTGGTCTTCCTAGGTGGTCTCCCATCCAAATACTAATCAGGCCCGACCCTGCTTTGCTTCCAAGATCAGACGAGATTGGGCTTGTTCAGGGTGGCATGGCCATAGACTTAACCAGTGATTTAAATTTGAATTTTCTGAACCTAAAAAGGTAGTTGGAAGAATTCCCTCTTATGTATATTTGCAAAAAGTCACTATATTTGTAAACTGCTATAAAAGTCATCTTTGATAAAGACAGCAAAGCTCCCAAGGTGAAACAACAAATGAAAGAACAGTTTGTCTGAATCTTTTTTCCAATCTGTGTACAGGTTGTGTGGTATGGTAGAGAGTCTCTGAACAGTTTTGCTTTATACCCTTTCCTGTTTAATCTTGACAGAAAACACTAGAACTTATAATCATTAAAGATTATGAAATAAAAAATAATGCTCAGTTTCAAAAATTCAAGTTCATAGTCAACTGTCCCTTTCACTGAAAATAGTTGTTTTATCACTTTGGCTTCTGGGAGAAATGCTTGGCATGTCCTGAGCAGGAACAAAAACATGAGACAGCAGAAAGTCTTTCGGCACAGTGCAGTCTAAAAGGTTAGTCAGCATCCTTTATGTAACAAATAATGGAATAGCTGGAAAACTGCCTTTAAAAGCAGAAATTTGGGGCCAAAATTGAAGACTGGCCAATGCATTTGAAAATTAAAGTAGCATGAAGCAAAACCAGGAGATGTTCAAGGCAAGTTTCTTATGTAAAGCTCCACAAGGCAGTACATAATGAAATGTATTTTAAACAAATTATGCTAAATAAATATTTGCATTGTATTTCTCAGTCAGGGTAGAGGTGGAGAGGTTAGCAGAGGGAGAGGAAGTTACCACTTGACTAAAAACAGCTCTAAAACTATTGCTAATCTGTGTGATCAAAAGAGAAGTGTAGAGAACAAAAAACAAATACCCTGACCTCATGCCTGGTTGAGTTTTTCTGCCTCCCGTGGATTTTAGAAGATCCCTCTTGGATATCGCCTACAAAATTTTCACATCTGCTAAATGTGAAATTTAAAATTATTATCTATCAAGTGCAGAAAGATAATTTCTAATCAGGCAAAAAAAGAAGAGATTTTTGGATTGAAAATTTTAGATACTTTGTAGCATGGAAATGAAGCATTTTTAAAGTACTCTGAACAAAAGTTTTTTTTTTTTTTTTTTTCAGACAAGTGTTTGATTAAGAGGGGTTAGTTAAGGGTATATAGACTTCACAGCCAACAAGGAGCTAAGGTCAAGATAGGCTTCTACATGGTGGAGAGTCAGGGCCAGCCTCTCCTAATGAAACCCCTTTACATCAGGACCTAGCAGAGTGGGTAGACTTTGCACCAAGGAGAATTAGTTGTCCTCTGGAAAGACAACTGATTAGCAAATCAGATATTGTTTCTTGGTCAGAAAAAAGGGTGTCTCGACAAAGGAAATGCCAGTTGCAATATTTTATTCTGCAAATTCTGCAACCTCTTGAAAGGGGAAAATCTTAAATCATAAAGTAACCCAAATTAATTAATAGCTGCCTACATAGAGCCCACAAATTTCATTTGCTTTATAATCATAAAGCTAAGACTAATTTTTTCCACCTCAATAAATCTTTAAACTTTTGCCAACTGGATCTTGATATATACTATATTCACTAAATAAATATCTTATGAAAAGTGATTGCATCTTAATTCTTATATGAAGGTCAGGGATAAAACTCTTCAAAAAAATTAATGCAAAGAGCAAGAGCAAAATATATATATATACTTTAAGCTAAGTAACACCTATGAAAATACTTTCTCTTCTTCCCCTACCTCTGTTGAAAAGCAGTAATCTTTGTTTAACTGAAGGATATAATGTTAGAGAATAATGTTAAAATACTGGCGTATTATATCATCGTATTCACTGTTTAACAAGGGCCAAATATTTCATTAAGAATCTTTGAGAAAATGAGTTTATGTGAGTGTCCTAAAGATTTAATGGTTGAACCCTGTGTTACAAGCCTGCACCATACCCCCAATGATCCCTGACTCCTGGTGGTCATACACCTGTGTAGTCTCCTCCCACATTAAGTAGGCTGACCTGTGTAATCTATAGGATATTTTGGGAATGCCATTGTATAACTTCCAAGGGTACATCATAAAAGACATTGTGGTTTTCACCTTGTTCTCTCTTGGTTGCCTTGCTCTGGAGAAAGTCAGCTGACATGTTGTGACAACATTCAAGCGAGTACAGAGAGGTGCTCATGCATGACAGGGAACTGACGCCTCCTACCAACATCTATGTGAGTGAGCCATCTTGGAAGTGGTCGTTCAGTCAAATCTTCAGATCAACATCTTGATTGAAATCTCGTGAGACTTGGAGGAAAGCTATTCCTAGATTCCTGACCCACAGAAGCTAATGAGATCATACATGTTTATCGTTGTAAATCACTAAGTTTGGAATCATTGATTACTTCAGTAATAGATTACAAATTCTTTTTTCCCCAAGAAACTCATAGCAAAACAAATGAACGCACTCATTTAAAGCCATTTACAAAGCTGATAGATCTTGCATTTATTAGTACTTAATAGGGCCTTATCTCAAGGAATTTGCTGTTTAGTTCCTTGTTTCTCTAAGTGTTGTACCAGACCAGCAGTGTGGGCATCACCTAAGAGCTTGTTAGAAATACAGAATTTCAAATTCTACCCCAGACCTACTGGGGTAGAATTTGCATTTTATGAGATTCTCCAACTATACATAAGTGCATTAAAGTTTAAGAATCACTGATCTACTTGATTATTAATGTTACAGCCTTGGTTGGAAACCCTACCTATATATTAAGGAGCACTTTCCTAAATAGTGTTGGAAAAACCCATCTCCAGAAATTGTGATTTAATTGGTCTGGGTTGAGATCTATCATGGTGGTGGACCTAATTATACTTCAGAGTTTTCCCCCTTGAAAAACTACATTGAAGTCTCAGATCAGCTCTGACTTTCCAGCATGCTCCAATTCTGGTTTTAGAAGCCAGGTATGCCCAGGTATACCTGAGACTACCCTGAGGGAAATGTGCACTGAACAGGAATCCTCTGGGGCATTGCCATGCCAGGGGCATCCGTTTCACAGCTGCTGAAATACTACTGCATATATTCCCTCCTTCTCTTATGCTCTTCCAGGACTCGGTTCATTGAAAGAAAAGCATCATGCCTTCCTACTCCATAGGTCAGTTTAGATTTGCCGTCTAGGGCCACTCAGGTGCTGAATAGCCTAAGGTTTCAGGATAGCTTACCCACCTATCAGATTGGGACCAATTTTTTTTTTTTTTAGTTTCATTGTTCCTGGACAGCAAAAGGGAATTAACTAATGGTTCTCACAAACCTTTGGAAAATATACTTTTGCTATTGACCAGACACTACTAAATTAAGAATTCCAGTATGATGGGCACTTAAGAATGTTCAACCTATTACTTAATAAGTGGCTCAAAGAGACAACATTAAATGCCACTTGAATATAGGTGGTGAGGGAGGAGGGTGCAAGGACTATCCATTTCCTTTACTAATGCACCCCCAGTGACAGAAATCATACCTTGGCACAAGGCATGCTCTGAATAAGTATTTGTGGGTTGAATAATCCCTCAAAACCCAGTTAACTTCTGACCATTCACTCAAAGTTACTGAACGTGTCTGCAATGGAAACTGTGGAGACTGTTTTACCAAGGGATTTCTAAATAAAGCTCCAAATCTGCTTTTAGAAATTAAAATCTGTGCCCAAATTCAATGCCATGTTTCAAAATTCTGCCCTAGTTTGGTGTCGATTCCTCATTTGGAGGCTGGCTAAAGGATGTGTGATCCCTGCCCTTGAATCTCCTTCCTTTGTGGGTTTTTTTTTTTTTTTTTCTTTGCTTGCCGCGGCTGCGCTGGTTAGCGCGCCGCACGGGTTTGTAGCTGTCAGGCGGCCGCGGCTGCCTAGGACCCAGGGGGAGCCGCCC